TTAGAAATATACTTTACAGCCTGCTGCTGTGCTTCATGGAGGTGAACAAGATTTGAAATCACGGGTCTTCTCGTGGGGAAGCAGTTGTGGGAAATACTTAATATCACCATAATCAAGCACTTTATGGACTAGTAACGAGCTATGGAGACCTCTCTGGGACACCTTGCTGCATCTTCTGCCTGCTCTCTAGCCTCCCTAGAACATTTTCCTATTTGTGACACTGTTAAATTTGATTTTACTTTACTGTTATAGGAAGTTTTGGACAAACTATAACATTACCTAACCTGCAGCCATTTCCCTTGGCTACAGAGATGGCCCAGCAGATATGCAGAGTTGACTTTCTATATCTTAAAATGGTTGCAGGCCTATTCAGTCCCTATATACACTAACTCTCTGGAAGGATTAAGTATTCTATTGCTTCATAGTACAGCAATTTTCAAAAATGATGCCCTCTTTCTTTCTAGATAAACCACAGCATAGAAACTGGATTTCGAGGGACATGCAGCCCGATTCTAAAATTCCCCCGTGACAGCTCTCCAGGGAACCAGTATCAAAGGTAAGCAAATGAGTTAAAGCCACAGATCTTTGATCCTTATTTTAAAAACTTAAGGTCACACATTGCTTCAGAATGCAGAATACACAAAAAGGAGAACAGTCACAGCGCACAGAACCAGCCTGCATAAAAACACTGAAAGGTTTTTATGCAAAATTTTGGTGTGACTTTGCTGTAGAACATGTGATATGGTTGAAAAGGTACAGGAAGACTGTTGAGAACACACACTGTGATGCCAATGTGATGGAGATGCCAAGTAAAGGAATTAAGCAAATAAGCAGGGTTTCTGAGAGGTGTTATGAGATGCAGGAACAGTAACACGAGGAAATTGAGAAGCAGATTTCTTTCATCTAAGGGTAGAAGTTGTAAGATTCTCATGAAATGGAAGTTACCTTTGGATTAAAGGGGCTGGCCTGGCTGCAGGTGGAGGATTGAGTTACTAAGCAAGCACTTGCTACCAAACAGGTCTGCAGGGCAGAAGCTGCCACTTGGACGGCACAGGCACGGGGGCTCTGGGGGTTGCACAAGCCAAGGGGCAGCACTGGGTAGCGTCTCTGAAGCCAGTTATGTGCAGTCATAACGAACTTTACTGCAAGGGTACACCTAAATTGAGGTACCATCCTAATACAGCCTTCTTGGAATATATTCCTGGTCTCTGTATTAAGTGTACAATTTGCCAGAATACTTGTGCATTATTACTGAATTAGCAAAAGGCAATGTTAAGGTTTGTAGGACTGATTTTTTTATTATAAAGCCATTTTTTGTATTTGAACATATAATCAACATGGTCTGTAACATATGAAAAATACCTTGTAAAAAAGCAGAAGAAAGAAACATTTCACACAAAGGCACAAATTGGAAAATTAAAACAACTTTGTTTCTTCAATTTATGTGCTAGACGAGCTGGATAACAAATTACTTTCAACTGTCAACCAATGAAAAGAAACTTGGTCAAAATTTCAGGAGGATAAAATATTTTATAGGTGAACACTATGATATTTTTGTAATGAAGTTCTTGGCCAACAGATCTTAAGGTGTATTTAACGTGACAGATTACCGAGAATGCCCCTAGTTATTTGGTGCATGTTAATTTCATGCAAATATTCTCTTTTCCACTGAATGTTTTTAAAGTACAGGACAAAATCTTTAAAGGTAAACAATAAAGAAAACCCCATACCACTACGGACTACCGTGGTGAGCATCACCTCACAAGCATGAGAAAATAACAGACACAAAGTTCTCCTTTCTCCTGTACGGGAACACCAGTTATGCAGTCCACCCAATGATCTTGTACATCAGCGCCCTCAAAAGCCTGGCCTCGTAGGTAACCGTGTTTTTCCCACTGTGCATCCTCTTCTCTTCAAGGGGTTGTTCAATGATGGCGGGGATGTTTCTTCCATGCAGCTCACACTGCTTCAGAAACTGAATGCACTCTTGAATAACACTGTCACGCAGCATGATCATGTGCTTGGACATGTTCTCCAGCAAGGACAGGAAACACCGTTTGGCGTAATACCATGTGTCAGTGCTCAGTTTTTTGTTATATGGCTCCAGGCTTTTAATGACCCTTGAAATACCAAAGTCATAGTTTCCCTTCACACAGTAGAGGGTACCAATGACTAGATTGACAATGCAAAGATGGTAGATGTTTTTATCAGGATTATCATAGGACAGCTGCTCTTCTCCCTTCTCGATCTTTCTCATCAGTTCTTCTGCGTCTTCATTCTGGCTTGTCAGGATGTAGGAAACGCAGAGGTTAGCTAACACAATGGCACTGACATGGAGAATGTTGTCGTAGTGCTTCTTAACTATTGGCTCATAGAAGCTAATAGCCTCTTTATACTTGTTCTCTTGCATGAAGAGCACGTGAGCCACATTGAGCTTCCACACCTCGTGTTCGTTACAGAACTCCACCGATTTGCGGAAAATCTTTTCTACCATTGTGTAGTTCTTCATGTCCCAGTAGATCTTTGCCTGGGCCATCAAGACAGGTATATATTTTTCCAGAGTCTCATCATACTCACTAACTGCCTTTTTTACAGCTTCATCATCCCAATTTTGCCTAGCTTCCTGCACGTGCTTTGTGAATTTTCTCAGCTGCTCAGTCAGTGTCCCTGCTGAATCGTCTAGCTTGTGGAAAGCCTCCTCGGGGGCAGTTTGACAAGTAATAATGGCATCTAAGAAGTTGTACAAGTAAGGTGTGAGCAGTTTGTAGGTCAGATGGGCATTCTCTGCCAGCACATCAGCTGCTAGGTCATAGTACTGATGCTTGCAATAGAGTAGTAGCAAGTTTCCAAAAGTTTCTGGCGGACAGGGGTTCTGCATCAGAAGGAACTGCAGTTTCTCAAACCCTTCAGTGGGCTGGCTGTCCATGTTCATTAGTGCTTGGTTGTGCAGCGTGACTGGATCCAGCTCCTCTTCGGCCCTTGGCGGCATATCTGTGAGAGCCTCCTGGGCCGCTTTCAGGTTGCGCAGTTGGTACTCGATGGCCGCCTTGAGGTTGAAGGCCTCCACCAGGGCCGTGCGGTGCAGGAGCAGAGTGTTGCCGACGCTGCGGACGTCAAGGCCCTCTGTGGTCATGCCCACGCTGAGCTCTGGGTGCTGGTGGATGCCGTGCTCTATGATATCGGAGATGTGTTTGAGGGCAGGGACGTACTGCTTGGCCGCGTAGCAGCAGAGCGCCATGTTGTAGGACAGCTCTGGGCAGTAACCCAACACTTGCATGGCACCAGCAAACTTGCCACTGGCCTCTTCGTGCCGCCCCTGCCGGTACAGCAGGCAGCCCAGGTTGATCTCGGCGTCGGCCCGCTCCGAGGGGTCCTCGGCTGCTCCAGGGCCGCTGTCCACGGCGGCGGCCAGCGCCTCCTCCACTAGGCTCTTGGCCGCCGGGAGGTCGCCCTGGGCATAGTGGATAGCTGCCTGGAGGCGCAGGGCCCGGCCCTGGTAGGCGGGGAGGTCCAGCAGTGGGCTGGCGGCCCGCAGGGCCTCGGCGTAGAGCCCGGCCTTGTAGAGGGCCTGCGCCTGGTAGAGCCGGTACGCGTCCAGCTCGGGGTGCAGCCCCACCAGCTGCTCGTAGCACTCGGCCGCCGCTGCGAAGTCCTGCAGCTGGTAGTGGCAGTAGCCCAGCAGGGAGAGGCCGCCCCGGGAGCGGCAGCTCTTCTGCAGCTCGCGGCTCAGCAGCGACACCGCCTCCCCGCACCGCCCGCCGCCGATCAGCCCGTAGACCACGGCCGTGTACTGCCCGTCGGGCACCGGCGCGGCCTCCATCGCCGCTGCCACGGCAACGGCAGCCGCCGGCGCGGAAGCGGAAGCCGGGCCCCTCGCTGCCATGGCAACGGCAGCCGCCAGGGCGGAAGCGGAAGCCGGGCCCCTCGCTGCCACGGCAACGGCAGCTGCCGGGGCGGAAGCGGAAGCCGGGCCCCTCGCTGCCACGGCAACGGCAGCCGCCGGGGCGGAAGCGCTGCCCGGGCGGGCGGGAGGCCCCTGCCCCGGGGCAGAAGCGGCTTGGCGGGCCCGGCGGCAGGCCGCGGGGCACCGGCCGCCTCAGCGCAGAGCTCGCCCGCCCTTCCCCCCCCGCCTTCCTGAGCTTCCGGTGCTTCGGCGGGGCCTGCGCTTGTCCGGCCGCCGTGCAGCCGATGGGAACTGGTGCCGGCGAGGGGAACCGCATCAGCCTCGGCGCTTGCCGGCCGTTTTCCCTCCCCTTTCGTGGCTTTATCTCCCGAGTGGTGGAACGGGCCGTTTGGTGACCTTTCCACACCAGCTCAAAGGGTTCGCGCCGCCCAAAACCACCGCCCGGAGCAGCGTTTGACCCGTTTCAGCATCTCGTGCCGCTGAAAAGAATAGAGTAAAACCAAAATCAACTCCTTTAATTTATTTCTAAATGTCATGTAATAGTTCTTTTAGGCAGCAAGTGGTGGTGTAAAAGCAGGCTCTAAGCTAAACGTGCAGTCCTAGAACATAGGCCAGCATTACATTGCTGTCTTGGGCTTTTTGAACACAGAACGTCCCCATTGCAGCCTGTCGAGATCCAAAGGCTCTTGTGGAAAATCACACCTACCCCCAGTATTTCTGAACACTGATATGTCCACTGTCACAGACTCTATAATCCGTGTAATTTCTGTACATGTGAATAAGTCTGTTCGAGTTGCCAGACAGATTTGGTTTCTGGCTGTTGCAGACTAATGCCAAGGGTATCCAGCAAAATTAGGTTTGACACCAGGCATGAGTTCTGCAAGGGTTATGTTTCAAAACCTCATGTCTGAGCTGCTCAGTCGCATGTGTTTTCACTGCTCTTCTATTTGCATGATGCAATAACCAGTAGATACAGCTCTGATTCATCCCAACGAGGGAGTTTCAAATAAAAATAACAAAAAAAATCACAGCAAACCATTAAAAGTATTTATTTATTTATTCTTTTTAGAGAAACCAATAAAACCAAGTTGTTAATTTCAAAAACATGCTTTAAAAAGCTGAATCAGCATTGTTCGATCTACTAAGCAAAACAGGGTAATGGTCTTAAAATGCAAAAAGGAAAAGGATGCAGAAGGCTTAAGTTACACATTTGGAAAGTACGTAGGATTCACTTGCATTTCTGTGCATGTGTCAGTTGTTTCCCACAGGCAGAAGTTCAGAGCTTATAATGGTATTCCCCACGCAACTCTAAAATGTGGTGCCCAACATGCTTATAAATTGGTAATTAAATACAAAATAATTCAAGAAAGAAAAGGTAACAAGCAATATACAGGGTGTGTTCCAATATTGGTACATTCAAGTATGGAAATCTCTGCGGTCTCTCAGCTGATTTATACTTCCCATTTCATTGTTCTGTTAGAAACCATTCACATTATTTTACTCTTAAAAATCTGTTTCTTTGATAAAGCTCATTAAAGAAAATATCTTGCTCTACATTTTCTTGCTTAGAACACTCTTAAGCATTGAAAGTGTCTGTTAATATGTTTTACATAACCTTGAAATAAACCTGTTCTAAAATGTCACTCAATGCATAAACAATGTACCAATAACTAAAATTATTTCAATTTTATGAAGGGAAAATAAGTACTTGGCCTGCAGACTGAAACACTCCTACTTTTCTAATAGGATTAATTCATCTAAATATTACAAATTACATTAGGCACTGCTGGTTGCAGTTTTCAAAAATAGTTTGTGAGTACTAGTATTGGCTTTGTTGATAACTACAGGCACGTTATGAGCTTGCAGTGCACTATAAGAAGGAGCAGTTAGCAAGGTCACCAATCCAGAAAAATGTAGCAGCTGTACCAAGAACACCATCTGAAGGAATACCTGAGCTAAAATGAAACACACTTACCTACTCTACAGTTATTTTCTGCAGGGCAGAAAACATACTAACGACCTTCTCTGCAAGATCCCTGGCCCTGAAGATAGTGGGGGCTGGCTGTGACAGAGCTGCGTTGGGGAGTTTAGTGTCCAGTTGCCACATAACACATCCCGTTTAAACTTCTGTGAGCTACTGCTGCTTAACCTTGTAGGTGTGATTGTGCTTAGGAGCAGGAGCAAAACCGTGTCCTGACCGAAGCAGATATCTACATCTTGATCACGTTAGGAAGCTGTTTTGTTTTACCTGTGGGTTGCGGGCTGGGAGAAAGGCACAATGATGGGGCGCTTTTAGGGGACATTGTCTGATTTTACTACTCAAACTGTGGCCAAAGACACCTCTTGGACGTCTCGTTCTCGGGAGGTGGGAAGCCCTTCAGTCTGAACGACAGGACAGCCTCTACCTCAGGTGCTCTTTGCCTTGAACAGTGATTTCCTGGTGGGGTCACAGTGTTGTGTTGCACGGTGATGCTTTGCTTTAATCCAGGAGGACATACCTAGGAGCCCCTCCTGATCTCTTCCACCAAAGCCCATCTGCTCTGTGCATCTCCCAGGAGGGAAGCAGAAATTGGGGCTGTACCCAGTGGGCATTCTGACTCCTGGCTGAGCCCATGTAAGGGAATTTGACAGGAGGGCAGGAGATGAGCCCACCCTTGTGACTCCCCACAGGCTGGTGGGGAAGGTGCACCTGCAGTTTGAAAGCCTACTCCAAATCAAGTAGGATTTGAATGTCAGGCTCTTTTTGGGTTACCCCATGTAATGCTAGGGGTAATGCTTTCCTTTTTTTTTTTTTTTTTTTTTTTTTTTTTTTATGAGGAAAGGTTGGTTTTGGCAAGCAGTCTCACAGGTGGGAATCCTGAGTGGAATTACTGGGTGGCCTGAAATATTTTTGAGCATGGGTATGAAGAGCCAGGTCTGCTGATGAAGTGAGGGCTGGTGGCTGGTTCCTGTGAAACCTCATGGTCTGTAATTCATGAGACAAGAAACCTGACTGAATTCAGGCTGTGGTTAACACTAGTCAGTAGGGCACCCAGAAAAAAAGGCATTGCTATTGAACCAGCTTGAAGCCCTTTTGTTGGAGAATGAAGCCCCTGTGATCCTATGGATGGTCCATGTGTTCATTGCCTTTTAGCACTAGAATTATAAATGCTAGAGCCATCATTCAAGGCCAAATTTCCACTGACAGCTGGGGCAAATAAGCGATGACTTGTCTGTTGCTGAGGCAGACCTGATATGTTGAGCATCTCCAGGGAAAGGCTAAGCAGCGCTTTACTAGCGCTGTTCTGGGTAACAGTGACTGCTCCGTCCTCCTCTCCACATGCCCTCTAATTTGTCCTTGCCTCTTGTGGACCTGTGTTTTATATGCACTCGCAGAACTAAGCTGATTTCAATGGGTTTTGATCTGTCCTTGTGCAGTGGACAGGGAAACAAGTAAAAGATGGAGAATGCCAATTATATAACCTACGCAGTCATCTCTCCTGTGCTCATCTCAGAGGAGTTTGGCAAAACTGACTGAAGTACTAGGAAAATGATTCCTTATCAGAAATAATGAAAAGTGCATACAATTTCTGTCTATCAAGCTTGTAAGCACTATCTAAAAAGTGTTTTCCACCATCTTAAAATATGAGAAACTTGGAATACATTTCCTTACTATACTGCGTGCTTCCACAAAGAATCTTCTTTTTCTTCTCAAAAATGCAAGTCTTTTGCTGATTCCTAAGCTAAGTGTTAAAAAAAAAGTCTTAAGGTTTTTCTTCCTTTTTTTTTTTTTTTTTTTTTTAAGATTGAGCTATATCACTTTCAGAGACCGAATGCTGTTGTGAGATGCACTACTGTGCCCCCCTGGTTTCAGTAGGGTTACTTCGTTTTGCCTGGGAACAATTTGATAACGATCTAGCCGTGCTCTCTCATTTTATTCCTTGTGATGGAGGAACAGAACCATAACATTAGTCAGCAGTTTCTGAATTTTGACCCACAATAGCAAAGATACCGAAAGACAGGAGAAATAGATGGAGGCAATTACAAACAGTCATTTGATTGATGGTTGACATTGTTAGAGCTTCAGCTGTATGTCAGGTTGCAGTGGTGCTGAATCCCCATCCCTGCCAGTGGGTGTTGCCATGGGCAACAGCGCACTGAAGCCAATAAAAAGGAGAGGAAATGAGGGGAGACTCAACCTTGGGGGAAGCTGTAGGGTATGCGCTATAAATTATGTTATACTTAGCAATATGCTATATCAAAATTCAGGAAAGCTATGTGTATCTGCCAGCAGTACTATGTCAGTTCCTAGTATCTGTTTCTCCCATAAAGTACATATTGTAAGTTTTGTATGGCTTGCTGCTTACTATCCTGCATCTGTCTTTATTCAGGGAAGAAAGAAGTGGTAAAATAATGGCAGAAACATTTCAATTTGGTGCATGTATTCACTGCTGTGCAGTCTGCGTTTCTGCTCCTTCCCTGCTTCTTCCTGCTAGAGAAGGTGATGTGGTTCAGTTGCGTACTAACAGATTGGCTTGCAGTGGTACTGAAATTTCCAGCTATTCACCTATACACGATTAGTAGCACAGAGGGTTTTTGTTTTGTTGCATTTATTTTTTAAAGAAGCGATCAGCAGATTTGTTGTTTCTGTTTGATTGTCAGACAGATGTAGTCAGCTTTTCAAAGGCGCTAACAACTCACTTTCCTCAGAAAGGAGGAAAGCTGTTTTTAGCATCTGGTCAGCTGGGCCAGGTTCTGATTTCCATTAAGTTGGTGCCAGTTCAAGGTAATTCCACTGAAGTAAATGGAGTTTGGCACAGGTGTAAAACTAAGCTGAATTCAGCTTTAATTTCTGCTGCCAGACAACCCTATATTTAGAATCCCATTTTTCATGGAGTACAAAGGCTTTTTTTCCCTATGAATGGGAACTCGTAAGCACTGCAACATGACTCCTCTTGTGCTCGGTCACACAGCAGAGAAAGCACCCTCAAATCATAGATCACAGTTTTGCTACACTAGTGATCTTTGCACTAGTGGAAGGGGACCAACTATCAGGTAACACTAGCGTCATCACACAGAACTAGACAGGTTTGGTTTTGTAACCTATCATGTTTGATTAGATTTTTATGAACACCTTTACCACAGACATCTACATGTGAGCCTTGACTAGTGCTGTACTAGCTGTAATAGTAGCATCTCAAATTGTACTGAAAGAACTGCAAAAGAAGTAAGAGGTAGTCAGTCCAGTATGATGATATTCTTCCTCCTCACCATTTCAAAATATTGATTTCAACTGGAAATTACCCTGGAAAGTCTTATCCATGGTCTACTTTTCAATGTAATATAAACCTGAAGCACAAGGCAAGAGATTTCCTTTTTTATTTGTATTCTGTTTTCATTAAAGCCCATTAAACTTTTCCTTAGGGGACACTGTAATTTAAAAAAAATGAATGTGTTAAAAGAGCATTTTTTAAAAGAAAAAAACCCCCAAACCTCTAAAATTACCATGCAATATTTTGCCGTTATGCAAACTTCCCCTTGCTGAGAAATTTACTGCATTGTTAATATGAATTTCTCAGGGAAGCAGGGACAGGTTGGTGTTTTTAAAGATAATAAAGTTTGTTTTTAAATGTAGCAAAGGTAGGCAATTCTAAAGGCCCTGATCAATCACTAAGAAGCTTTGTTGTAAAAAAATACTTCTTTAGAATACAAAGCAGGCTTTTCAGAACATTCAGGCATAAAAGAGGAGGGAAGAGTGAGAGAGGAACATCACAAAAGCAGGCATAATTGATTCATAACATGTACCGAAGAGATGCAAAACAACAATGTAATTACATACTATTCTGTTTTCCTGCAGCTCCTTGCATATGAATTGACCAGCTTGCATCCCAGTTCTGCTCTGTATTATTAATTTTATTAAGCTGTAAGTTCTTATATTTCAGTCTGTTGTCAGCTTTACAGATTTTTACAGCAGCAGTTGAAATGTAGTGGAGCTGAATGAATGCTTCTTGTGCTAAGTCTTCTGTGTCACTCCAGATACCAGCGCAATCTCACCGCAGGCCTTCCTTTCAGTCCCCCTAAGCCTCCCAGTAAAAGCAAACTATGCTGCCATCAAGATAATATCCACTCAATCAAGCATATCTGTGAAAGCATTTCTTGAAAAAATGGTGAGCCTAAGTTTATGAAAACCTTTCAGACAGCTCTTACTGTAAAGTGACACTGACATTTGCAGGCTTAATTTATGTCTTTGAGAGACATGGTAAAGCTAGAGGAAAAGGAGGATGAGGATGCTGCCTGAGAAGGAAGTCTTCTTTGGTGCAGCTCCTCCCATTTACCTCTATTTACTGCAATGGAGTCCAGCATAGGCTTCAGTTTTGCATTCAACTTCACTAGACACTGGAAGAAGATTTAAAAAAAAGAGGATGAGAGAAAAAACATTGACAATATTTCCAGTCCTGCAATGGACAGTCCAGGGAGTAACAGGGCAGAAAGTGTTTAATCTGCACCATACCCCTAGCCTCCTCACCCCCAGCTATAAATTCCTGTGTACGTAAAGCTTATTGTTTGATTGAAATCTTATCTTACTTGTTTTACCTGAGACTTTAAGTAATCCACCAAAAATATAAAAAAAAAGCACATAAGGTGGCAGAGTTATTGCTCAATTATTTTAGCTTCCTTGTAATCCTTAAAGATAGTCCTTTTGAGGTATGCTCCAAGTGTCTGAGGCTATTTGATTGCTGGCATCTATGTGCAGGAGGCCCACTGGTTAGATGATGAGTTGGACAAAGATGAAATAACCTTTAGATTCTCCCCAGTGCTAGATTCTTATTTTCTATAGATGAGTAAACCACAACTGTACTGTGTGTTTCAAAGCTGGCAAAAAAATCCATTTCTGTGTGCTCAAAATAAAGGGAAAAAAAACCTTTTATTTTTAGATTGCACTGAAATTACCTTTTTTCTACATACCCAGTCCAAAGCTCACAGAAGCCAGTAAGAATTTTTTATTTGGTTTCAGCTGGCTTTGAATCATCCCCAAAATTATACAATTCCTGCACATCTTTGCTAGAAGTTTATTTTACCTTCCCCTTTAGTATCAAATGCTTATGTGGAAAGACCACAAGTGCTTCACTTGGTTTTGTCCCTACATTAAAGAGAGACAGAACCTTATTAACAGCAGCACCCAGATGTGAAGAAAGGATTAGCTGGTTACCTCCCAAGCGGTCATGTAATGTGCCCTTTCAGGACAGAGGAGTACTATTTTGCAGCTTTTTTGATTAGCAAGAAGTGGGATTTGATGAGACTTGGGTATCATGCTTTCCATGATAGCCTGGAAACTATGTATTTGTCATTTGAAATAAAGGGTTGGTGCAAGAGAAAAAAAAAGGTACTGACAGAGAAGACAGCAAAAGTTTTTCTTCTACAAGTGCAGAAAAGTATAAGGAAAAAGAAAGGAAAGGGGAAGCAGGTACCTTTGCAGCTGATAATTTTTATTATTTGCTTTAAATAGCAGGGTTAACAGCAACCACTTTAAGTGGTCCCCAGAGCCCAGACACCACTAAAGAACTGGATTTTTTTTATAGCTAGTCTGCAAGTCGTGGGAGCTTGGTTAGCTACTGAAGTAAGTCTTGGTAGATTTTTAATTGAGCTATTATATGATAATTAAGGGTTAATGGCCTGATTTTAAGATGTGCTGAAAACTTGCAATTTCAGTTGACTTCAGTTGAAAAATCACGCCATGAGTAAGAAGCTGATTTGTGTGGAACTTGAAGCAAATCAACCTGAAGTTATTTCCTTAGAATATGGCACAGACTGGGTGGACAATTTTGTAACCTTGGGCCTGGGGTAAAAGGCAGAGTTTAGTGTAGTCCCTGTCACATACAGTATTGCTAGCTGGTGACAGTCATTCATTTGATAGAATGGACATGGATTTGTAACATTCCCATCACCGCGCCTCAGAGCAACCCATTTTTAGCTCTTTATTTCACACCATTGTGTATTTTCCAAACCTGTTTTGGCAGAGTCCAAACCAGAGGGGCAGTAATACATTATAAACACCTGAAAAGCTCACTGTTGTTATCATTAGCACCTTCATTACCACTGCTAACTCAGTGTCTAGAGGTACCAACATTAGATATTCAACCCTTGACAGCAATTCATCAGATCCTTTCTGTGCAAAGGCAGTATACCTCCACTGTCAGTTAAGCTTACTGGTATTTCTTAAATCTTGAAAAAGTTTTTGTGAAGTATTTTTCCAATATACACTTTAAATTAAAAAAAAAAATTAAAAAGTTTAAATCAGTGTTTAAAAATCAATGTGTTTAAAATATCTCTAAGCACAAAGACAGCATTCCGCACTCACATCCTGTCAGCCCCAGGATCTGTAAGCACAAAATGCAGCACAGGCTGTTCCTGGCATAACTGCTACACCAGCAACCCATACCTGCTGCAGGCAACAGAGAGGAGAAGGAGCTCATTGGGACAGTGGACTGGCTCAGTGTGGCTGTGCAGCTCTTGGCTATATCTGTGTCATTTCTGTACTGTTTTTTTTTTTTTGCCAAGGCTGACCACAGACCATGATGCTTTCAATTCTAGTGCCAGGGAGCAAATGCAGGGGTCTGGGCATGACTTGCTGCTGTGCCTGTCCCTCCAGCCTAGGCATATGTGCCACATTCTTACAGTAGGAGACAGCCCTGTCATGTACAGTGCCAGGGGTCTGTGAGTGCTCGGAGCAATCAGCTTTGCATTGATTACAGCAGAGACCAGAAGCCCAAGTAGATTGGGAATGTATTCCAGAAGCACCCACACAGTTCTACAGTAATCACTGTACCTTATAAGCTGTAAACAAATTTTAAAACCAAAAGTAAATAAATATATTTCTTAGAAATATATACCTAAGTGCATATTACAGAGTCTAATAATCCAGTGCAACAGAAGTCACCAGGCAAATAACAAGAATGGTTAATTAATAAAATTAACTTTGATGGAATAAATTAAAAAGAGTATTTAGGAAACAATAAACCATGTCTTTGATATTAATTTTTACCATAGCACAAGCAATTAATTCTATGGAATACTTACAAAATATATAGTGTAATTTTAAGAAACTTAATTTTGTTACACATTAATTTAGATTAGGGACACTTGACAGTGCAGATTTTGCACTTGGTTTATAAAATGTCTTTATTCAGACATCGATTTGATGTTTAAACCACTGCTTCTGTATTTAGTATCCTTTCACTTTGGGACCCTTTCATTCTGATCTAGTCTTTTAATTAAACCAACTACTATAATTCCTATGGAAATTAGCTTTTATTTTATTTTTTCCAGCTACCAAAGCATTTTAGTAGGACTTTTCTGATACAAAGTACACAAATTTGATTTTATTTCTGGTTGAGATGTAATTAAAAACTCATTTGATTACTATATATCTGGCCCTGTTTTAATAATTAAACTCCAGTAATCAATTTTCTTTTATGAAGCTTCTGGGAAATTATCTCAAAAGCAACACATTTCTCTCCCTTCTGGCAGGCTCTCGACCATTTACTGAATTACATTCATGGCACCTGTTCCTGATCCGGATTAAACCACCAATTTATTCCCAAAGCTCTTTAAGTTTATTTGGCTGTAACCTAGTCAAGCTTTTCTACTTCCTGGCTGCACTTTTTACTTTCCATTTTATTGCATGAGAACCCCTTGATGTACTGCTCCTCCATGACACTATTTTTGATGCATACCTCTTACGAACAGCTTTGCTAGTGATCTGTCTAATTTGGTATCCAGCTTCTTAACGCCCAATTGATTATTTGCTTTAGCAGGAAGAGGTTCGGTCTTCAACAGCTGTCTGACACAGGATACCACCACATAAACCCGTAGCTCCAGAGACTCCCTTTTTCCTCGCCCCTCCTTGGTGCAGCAGGCAGGCTGTGGGCCGGGGTGAGGGAACCCCTGCCCAGGGGAGTCCCCGCCTCTGCCTGGGACCTCGGTGCCCACTTGCAGTCCTCCCACTGCAGTGCAGCTGACTTGCTGCACAGCAGTAGGTACAGGATTGGTGACCTTTCCCATATTATCCCCTTTTCTGTAAAAGCTGTTCTTAATAGCAGAGCGATAAAGCGTGCTGGAAGAGCAGTCATGCTGGCAGCTGTGTGCTCCAGTGGTAGGAAAAGCCAGATAGGTTTGCAGTTCCCTTCTGCATCCATATATTACCTCAGATGCTTGACTAAGCTGTTTCTCAGAAAGTTACTGCATAGCACTGACTTTTTCTTACCACCTTCAATTATTTAGGTGTCTTTTGTGACTATATACTGCTTTGCCCACAGCATACTTTCACAAGGTATAGCTCCTCCAGTACAAGGAAAGGTTAAAGGCACTTCAGCAATACACTGTGTGCTCCTGGGAGAAGGGCAGGGCTCCCTGATGGAAGAGCTCAAAAGGGAGAGAGGATGAAATACTCAGAGGAAGCTATTTATGGGAGAAGGTAAGGAGGGGAGAGTGTTTTTTATTGGGTATAGAGATGTATTTCTTAGATATATTTTGCTAGATAAAGCATGCAGAAATAGTGGAAGTAGCAACAAACTCCTTCAGGGAGAGGGCGATGGGTAGCAGTGGAGGCATTTGTTGGTAGATCTAGATTAGGTCAAAAGGTAGGGGGGACAGGACTTCATCTGCTACATCAGCTTCATCTTTGGGAAAGGATGTTAGCTGAAACAGCCAAGATGCAGCATAGATGCGGCCAGTCTAAACTACTGCTAAAGCAAATACAACATTTTATTGCATTCTAAGACTGATATAAAATCCTTTTAAAGTGGAGCAAAGTATGTCCTAACTTGCAAACACTGCAGGACCTTCAGAGTATATACTTTTCTTTCCCCCCAGCCCCGGAGGTTCTCATCCAAATATTGACCAATTCTGACCTTGCTTAACTTATGAGCTTTGACAAGATTACAGCTCATGGAAGTATGGTTGCGGGTCTAATGTTTGTAAAGTGAGTTTATGGAATAAGACCATATAAATTCATTTTTATGACTGAGCACATATCAAAAAGTTATAGGTCTCAGTGTTCACTCTACTTTGGAACCCAGTGGTTTCTAATGAATCACTTTTATTATGTAGGCAGTTTCTGAGTTGGAAGGGAGGGCACTAGTGACCGAGAAGCCATAGGGATAAATTCAAACCTGGTCTAAGCATATGAAGCATTGCTGAAGTCAAGAGAGTCATGACCAGTTACAGCAGAGCTGAATTGGACTCCTGAGTTTTGCTGAAGTGGCTTTCACGTGAGAATACGTAGGCCAAAGGTGAGCCATCTGTTTGAAAGTCCTTGAACTTCAGATTAGTTCAGATAAAAGGGACCTGTACTGCAGTCATCCACAGATTTGATCTTCATAATACAAATTCTTGAT